CATCGTGTATGTTTTGGACATGTCTCGATTTGTATAGTTTTTGATCTGAGTTTTAGTTGCCTATATAAAAGGCATTGTGTGATATAAATATAACTTTACTCAATAATATTTCTCTTTATAATTTTAGTTTCTCACTTTTCTCTCTTCTCCCATCTTTCTTGAAAACACCTTTGTTCTAACAAATTAGTATCAAGGAGTCTGAGTTGTGATTCAGAGAGAATTTGTAATGCCAAACAGAAACACAACATTAATGCAATTTTTAGCGAATATACCAGTTTTCTTCTAAGGGGAGAACTACTAATGGCGGGTTGCGCAAATAAATGTCATCTTTAAATTTCAAGATGTGATTGAAATTGTGAATGATAAAGTACCGAGGTTGGTAGCGAATTCATATGATGTTCAGCAAGCAGCACACTATGTACGAAGGCAGAAAGATGGAAAATGTCTGTTCTTGATTCACTAGTGTGAAACATAACGTGCTCGAGAAGATAATTGAAGAATAAATAAAAAAGAGCGTGAGACAAGTTAAAAAGCTTGTAAGGTAGAGATGAAAAGCTAAAAAGGGTAAAGTTGTAGACGTTGAGAAAACAATTTGAGATGACTCAGATGAAGGAAGATGAATCAGTCTTAGAATACCTTTCATGTGTAGTGTTGTTAATGAATAAGATGAAGTCGTGTGGTGAATCAACTAACGATTTGCTGAAGATTGAGACATTGTTGAGATCTATGACTACGAAGTTTGATTACATTGTAGTGTTAATTGAAGAGTCCAAGAACCTAGTTGAGATAAAGTTAAAAGAACTTCAAGTTTCATTAGAGACTCATGAGATGAGGCTGAAGCAGAGGAACTCAAAAATAAAGAAGGTGGCTGAGCAGACACTATAAGCAAGATTCATAAAAAAAATTGAGAAAGAAAAGAGAAAGAATCTTGTTAATGATAAGAAATCACACAAGAACTCTAAGAATCCCTCTAATTGGATCAAGAAAGGCATGAACAACAAGTATTTTGGGAAGAAAGTTGGTATGAAGGAGGTGCAGTGTTACAACTGTTAAGGATTTGACCGCTATGCTTGAGACTGTTGAAGAAGAAGGAAGCACGTTTGAAAGATAATGATGAAGTGCAATATGCACATGCTGAAGATAATGATTATGAGAATGTGTTACTCATGGCCAATACTCAGTCAAACATTGGACAAACTAACATGTGGTACTTGGATTTAGGATGCAGTAACCACATGACTGATAATAGAAACTGGACCCAAAGCTAGATGAATCAGTTAAGAAAGTGATAAAGTTTGCAGATGGAAGGTACATCACATCAGGTGGAAAGGGAGACATCTCTGTTGTAAGAAAAGATGATCAAAAAGCCAACATCACTAATGTGTTGTATGTACCTTCGATGACAAGTAACTTGATAAACGTATGTCAATTACTTGCAAAAGGGTACAATATGAAGCTAAAAAGAATCATATGAAGGTGTATCATAGTGATGGAAGGTTGATTCTGAAGGCACCGTTGACAGACAACAGGACCTTCAAAGTAGAGATCAACCCAGTTGTTCACAAGTGTCTTGCTTCGACTGCAGAAGAAGACAATAATTGGCTATGTTATCACAAGTTTGTACATCTAAACTTCAGAAATTTAGATAGGCTTAACTAAAAGAAGATGGTGCATGACTTACCTCAGGTGAAATAACCAAGTCAGGTGTGTGAGGAATGTTGAAAAGTAAAGCAGACTAGGAAAGAATTCAAGCATTACCTGCTAATGAGGTCGAAGAAAAAGTTAGAGTTAGTTCACTATGATGTGTGTGGACCATTTGAAGTGAGGTCGAATGAAGGTAACTACTACTTCCTAACTTTCATCGATGAATTTACTAGATATATGTGAATTTTACCTTATTGAAAGGAAGAGTGATGTATTCACACAATTCAAGAAGTTCAAATTGCATGTCGAAAGATAAAGTGGATGCAGGTTGAAGAAACTGAGAACTGATGGTGGTGGTGAATGCACCTCTCGAGAATTTGCTAGATTTTGCAGTGAGGAAGGTATAGAGTATGAGGTCATTGCACCATATACACCTCAACATAATGACATAGGTGAGAGGAAGAATCAAAGTATACTGAACATGACTAGGAGCATGTTGAAAGCTAAAGACATGCCAAAGAGATTTTGGGGTGAAACAACTTCAACAACAATATATATTTTAAACAGATGCCCAACCAAGAAGATAGTCAACATGACTGCTTATGAGGCTTGGACAGGTGTGAAGCCGAATGTTAATCATCTTAGAGTGTTTGGATCAATGCGTTCAAGGCATGTACCTGAAGAATTTAGGAAGAAGCTAGATGATCGAAGTCAGGCTATGGCGCTCATATGTCATCATTCGTTTGGTGCATATAAGTTGTATTCACCAAACAATGATAAACTTGTGGATCTAGTAGATGAAAGCAAATGGTGGGATTGGAGTCATGGGTTAGTTCGACAGGAATTAGAAACAATTACAACTATGTTTGAAGAAGACCAACAAACTGAAGTCCCAACCAATCGAAACGAAGAACCACTTGAGCATAATGTTAGGAGATCAACTAGATCAAGAACTGAGTCGATAAGAATAGCTGGATATGAGAGATTTCCAGATAAAGCAGTCGATGCAGATGGTGACTTAATAGAAGAAACAATGATGATGGACGAAGCATAACCAATTAATTTGGATCAAGCCATGAATGATTTGAATTGGTTAACAACCATGAATAAAGAACTCAGGTCAATCAAGAAGAACGAGACCTGGGAGCTTGTCGAAAAGTCAATCAAGAAGCCAATTGACGCGAAGTGGATTTACAAGCCGAAACGAAGGCCAAATAATGAAATTGTCAAACATAAGGCAAGACTAGTGGCGAGAGGTTTTCTAAAAAACCTGGTATTGATTTTGAGGAAGTGTATACACTTGTGGCGAGATTGGAAATGAGAAGAATTATTGTGTCGACAACAACATACAGAGGGTAGAAGATACATCAGTTGGATGTAAAATCAGCATTTCTGAATGGACATTTGAAAGAAGAAATCTATGCCAGTCAACCATCAGGATTCGAAATCAAAAGGCAGGAGTTGAAGGTGTAAAGATTGAGGAAGACTCTCTATGTTTGAAGCAAGCCCTCCATCAGGATTCGAAATCAAAAGGCAGGAGTTGAAGGTGTAAAGATTGAGGAAGACTCTCTATGTTTGAAGCAAGCCCCAAGAGCTTGGAATAAGAGAATATATAACTTCCTAATCGAAGTAGGTTTCACAAATTGTGTATCTGAACATGGAATGTATGTCAATGATGCAAACATAGTCATTTGAATCATCATATGCCTGTATATAGATGATTTGTTGATTATAGATGCAGATGAAACAAAGATAAGAAGAGTCAAGTCGAAGCTGATGCAAGAGCTTGAAATGTTCGACCTAGGAAACTTGTCATATTTCTTAGGGATGGAGTTCAAAGACACATGTGAAAGAGTGTTCTTGCACCAAAAGAAGTATGTCCAAGATACCTTGAAGAGGTTCAAGATGAGCAACTGTAACGCAGCTGCTACGCCATTAGAAACTGAAGTAAAGATGAAGGAGACAAATGATAAATTTGTAAGTGCGACACTGTACAAACAAATCATTGGATCCTTGAGGTATCTTTGCAATACAAGGCCAAACATTTGTCAGATTGTTGAGTAGATTCATGACGAAATCCTAAGAATGTCATGTCACTGTAGTTAAAATAGTGTTGAGATACATAAAGGGTACAATTGATCATGATGTGTTGATGTCAAGGCAGAAGAAGATCAACACAGATGCAAAAGTTTATGGCTATACTAGTTCATATTTCAATGAAAATCAAGACGAAAAGAAGAGTATTGTAAACTACATGATCGAAGGTGCTCCAATCTCATGGAACTCAACAAAGCAAAGTATTGTGGCTTTGTCATCATGTGACGTTAAGTACGTGGTTGCATCATATGCATCATGTCACGCAGCATGGATAGAGATGTTGCTCGAAGAGCTCAAGATAATGGAACCTAAGAAAATGAATTTGTTTGACGACAACAAATCAGCTATCGACCTGACGAATCATCCAATGCGTCATGGTCGAAGTAAACACATAATAAGGAGGTATCATTTTTTGAGGGATCAAGTTAACACAGGAAAACTTGAACTTGAGCATTGTAAGACAGAATGACAACTAGCCGACATACTCATCAAACTCCTGAAGAAAATCAGGTTCGACAAACTGAAGAGAAGCATCGAGATGAGAAGTCTCGACGAGGTGTGTTAGAAGTTGTAATTTGATGTTTTGTCGAAAGCTAGCATTCGACTATGCCGAAGTAGCTAGTCGAGATGTAGAAGTCAGCTGTATTCGACTTAGTCGAATACATCATATAGTTATTATGTTGAAACGCAAATTCTAATTTTGTACTTTGCATTTTGTATGTTTTGGACATATGTCGATTTGTATAATTTTAGACATAGACTTTAGTTGTCTATATAAAAAATATTGTATGATAAAAAGATAACAATTTCTTCAATATTTCTTTTTACGAATTTAATTTCTCCCTTTTCTCTCTTCTTTTTTCATCGTTCTTAAAAACATTTTTGTTCCAACAATTACATGCAATAATTTTTAAGTGAGAGTAATGAAACTATGAAAGTTAACTAAACAAAACCTTCGAGATTTATTTTTTCTTCATTCAAGGAACAAGGATCCATTGTACAATTTATGTTCTTGGTGTGCTAAATTGGATTAACAAATAAACATGAGGAAGTAAAAGGGTAACAAAAAAATTGCCCAACTCCTAAAAACCTAATAAAAAGTTGCTCAAAAATTACAAAAACCGACAGAAACAACAAAAGTTGAGGCGTGCAAGTGAAAAAAAGGACAAGCTTTCTTCTTAAGTAAAAGGAGATTTAATAACAATTAAGTAAAAAAAGAAAAATGTATTGTGTATGAAGATATATCTGTACGTTATTCGTCAAGATTGCGAGATGATTTGCGTATAAAGAAACTCATTCCAAATGTCTGGTAATCCTGGTAAACACCAATGAATACAATCTGCATAAGTAGTTGGATCAGCTTGTTGTTCTGGTGTAAGCATCTTTCCTTGACGTATTGTATAAACAGAAGTATGTGCATCTTTTCTATACTCCGATAACGTTGTGATGTTAAGAAAGTACACCGGAACCTTCATTGATTTTGTCACATTGTCAGCAATCACAAAAAGTCGACGATCCGTGCCCACATTCAACGGGGCCGACATATTTAGAATCGGAGTTGTTTCTTTAGCACATTTTATGCCATCAGGGTTGTTCCAGTCCTCACTCCTGTAAACATTGAATGCAAAGACCAATTGTGTTAAAGCTTAAAGGTAAAGTACTAAAGTACTCATCAAAGATTAGAAAGCATAAAAATGAGATATAATCATTACTTGATATGAAGAGGTGACGTGCCAGTGAAGAAAACTTTGGTTCTATTAGGGTCAATGTGTTCATCCACCCATTTTGACCATGTTCTCATCACTCTCTCGTATGCTTCCGGCCTAGGGACTTCATCATATTCTGTCGCCCCTTCATCAAACGATCCTCGTCTATCGAATCACACACAAATCAATATAAGTTTCACCGAAACATAAAATGAAGTGAAAAGAAAAACGAATACAGTATGTGGTCTAGTGTGCTTACAATACTTTCATATTGAAAGTGTTCATCCACCATATGTAGGTATTAAAGATAAGATAATCTGCATTCTTCCAATTCACCCCATGCTTTTCAATTGATTCCGGCATTATTATTCGGTTCAATATGCTATGCATATTTGGATCATCTGAATTTGATTCTACAAGAAATGGGGACCAGTAGAATTCCACCGTAGTAATTACATTCTCTGGCTCCTACATAAACAACAAAGAGTGCATCCTAAGCAACATCGAATAAAATAAATCCATGTTGTCCTTTCCGAACAACCAATATACTGTCTCAATCTAATAAAGCCAGATCTTGCTATCACTAAGGCAAAATAAAAAGTGGTTCTGAAACAATTCCATTTTGTCACCAAATTCAGTGGTCCACACTCTACACCACAAATGTACAAAATGTTTATGCTCATTCTAGCTCATTAAGATGAAAAAGAAAAACAACAAACCTCAATTTTCAAGATTGCAAGAGAACCAGTCTTGTACCAAGTCTTCTTATCAGAAGGAACCACAGATTGAACCATACAAACCATTGATTCCCACTGGTTTCTATTCAGAGAGTCTCCAACAAACATTACTCTTTTCCCTCTTATCTTCTTAAACAACAATCTTGGCTTGAACCTTAAATTACACAAAAAATGCAATCATTAAGAATATACATCAACATAAAAAAACTTATTAAAAAAAAACCAAATTGCATACTTTGGCATAGAGCAATCTCTAGGTTGCCATTTCCAGTTCTGATACAAAGAATCACGTCTTCCATTCCTCATACATGTAACTTGAGAAGTGAGAAATTCACATTCTTCTTCTTTATACAAAGGATGTGTCATGTTATCCAAAACCCATTCACCATTGAACAAGTCACAATCTTTTGGTGGCAACTCAACTTCTTCTTCCTCTTCTTCCTCTTCTTCTAACAATTCAATCTTGTCTTCTTTCTCTGTCATCACAACCTTTTTCACCTCGACACGTTCTTGTTGTTCATCAGAATCCTCATCACCATCCTCACTTTTCTCAAGCTTAGTTCTTGAGTTTTTAGTAACAGTTTCTTCTACAACATCTTTCTTGGTATCATCAACAACAGTACTGTCTTCTTCTACAAGAACCACTTTCTCTGTCTCCTTACGTAAAGACTCAACCTTTTTGGAATTTTCTTGATGGGCTTCTTGAACTTTAGGCCTTGAGAATGGAAATTCAGCTATTGATTTAACGTCTTCGTTGTACATGAATATCCCAAAGAGGAAAATGGAAAAAACGACCACAAAAATGGAAAGGTTACTGTTCTTGCGAGCCTTCATTGCTCCTATTTCTGAGTTGAAAAGAGGAGTCTTACGACGAAGAGGCTGCATGATAGAGAAGAAAAAGAGAAAAGACTGAGGAAAGAGGAGGAGAAAAGAGGTAGAAATATAGAGAAAGAAAAGAGAGACATTTGAGAAAGAAAAAGACTTGAATTCAAGTATTAGGTTGTGTTTGTTTATTTGGTGTTTGGTGAAATGATGTTATCAAAGAATATAGAACAGAGTATTGGTTGATTGTTGTCTTTCTTAGCACTCAAGCAGGAACTGTTTTGTGGCTCATCTCAATCATGTTCCTCTGAGGAGTTATGTATGTGATCCCACCTTAAAACTTAAGCCTCCTTTATTGTTTTCCCTTCTAAAATATTTTTATAAACTACAATAAAGATATACAATTAAAATTCACAAATACGTAATTATCCGAATTCAAATCCTAATACTTATAATTATGTGTGTAAATTTTTAGTAGCGGATATTCAATTAAATAGTTATATAAAGATATTTGATATAGAAAATATTCGAATTCATGACATTCTGGTTATTCATCTTTAATAAGGTGAATTATAAGTAGTAAAAAAAATTACTAATTTTTGTCCTTCTATAAAATATTATTTATGCTAAATTTTTTGAGTCAAGTGGGTTAGGCCATTTTGCTCTATTTTATATTTTATAATAAAATTATTGGGATGTTTGTATTTTTTTAAAGATGATTATTATAGTGTTATATTTTTTTATTTGAATTAAAAAAATTAAATGAAAAATTGATTTAAATGATTTAAAAAAAAATGTTATTTTATGTATTTAATTCTTTTACTATAAATTTTTTTATATCAAAATTTCAAAAAAATATTTTATTATTTTGAATAATTTTTCATAAAAATTATTTTTTAATACACATTTTTTTTGAAAATTTTATGATTTTGAATATGTTTTAATTTTCTGTTATTAATGTCAAAATTAAGCTTTTAATTTATAAAAAATAAATGTAATTTCTTTACTAATTTAAAAAATATTTTTATAAAACTCATTTAAAAAAATCTGTTAAAAAAAACAAATTGGCCCTACATGTGTTTTTATGTGTTTTTTTGTATTTATAAACTTTTGAAGTTTTAATTATTAGTCTACTCACTCTGTGGTCCTACTAATTAGAAAAACAACATATTTGAGATAACTATACATGAGGATTAAATACATATATTTTTTATTAGTAATTCCTCTTGGTCTGCTGGTAATTCAACTACTTTCAAAGTTGAGGCAATACGTGAGGGAGAGGAATACAAAGGAGTGATTTCAAAGCTTTCAAAGTTGGTAGTAGTCTCAGTCAGGTGAGAGGGTTTGGTGGTTTTTGGTGGACACAATGTTGTTGTCTTACAGTTTCAGTTTCGGATTGCAAGGAAGTAATTCTTGATGGTTATGGTAAAGTGTTGTGTAGAGATGCCCACTCCAACAGCAATGTCTAGATTCCAATATAAGTCTTTTGGGTCAACTAATTATAAAGTATACAATGTTTGAGATTAGTTATATGTAGGGTTTGAATCCTTTCTTCTAAGTGTCTTCTTTGAGTTGTGTGACATCCATTTTTATAGTTTAAAAAATACTAAAATTTGAGTTAATTTGTGGATTGATAATGTAATATAAAAATGAGTTAAATATGTTTGTGGTTTTTATAAATATTTCAAATTTCGTTTTTATTCTTTTAAATTCTTCTAAAATTTTTTGTTTACGTTTTTGTTTCTTAATATTAAAACTGTCGTTAAATAATAAATCGTCATTAAAATCGTCGCTAATTTTGTTTCTAAGTTGTAAAAATCGTTGCTAAGTTGCAGGAGGGACTGAAAGTGTTGATGAAAATTTTTAGGAGGACCATTTTTTAAAGAAAATATTTTAAGTGACTAAAAACGAAATTTGAGATATTTAGGAGGACCGCAAACATATTTAATCCTATAAAAATTGATATTTATTTGCATTTGTTTAGTGTTTTTGAAAAACAATCACAAATTTTAATTCACTTACATGATTAAACTCAAAAAAATTCTAGAATATATTGTGCAAAAAACAGTTAGATAAAACATGTTTATGTTTGGATATTTGATGTTTGGGTGTAGAGAAATAGGGTAGAAATCCCGATAAGGATGATGAAGGATAATTGGCTAAAAAGCTTAAAAGTAAAGTGCGGAATTGTTTGTAAAAATAAAATAAGTGAAAATAAATAATAAAAATCAATCGAATACAATGCTTGAATTTAAAGAATTAAAAGAGGGACGTAGATTCATACATTTCTCACAAACTCTTTTCTCTCTGTAACTTGAATTGTCGAGTTCTATGGAGAATACTAATGAAAAATTGCGAACCCCTGTTACATGAATGAAATCGACTTATATACTAAATACATCAATAATCTTCGATAACGGTTACTTCTCTAGAACTCGACATATATCCTACTACGTGGGCTATTGTTTTATGATAAATTTTCATGTGGCTTTGGTCTTCGAACTACCTCTAAACTATTTCTATTATTGAAACTGTTTTTACAAACTCTAACTACCTCTATCGAAGAGATTCTTTGTCGAATCTTTGTAGTGAGATACCTTAATGTCTCTAGGTCACCTACTCCTTGGACTCAAGAAAATACTAAGTCCTAAAACACTTGATAGACGAGTCAAACTCACCACCTTTATACTAAACTTTCATGTCGAAATGCTAATTGCAAACCCATTTCGAGATTCTGAATATGTTTTAAAGAGAGAGTGATCCTAATCTTGCGAATCTGTTCTTTAGATTCCTCCAAACTATGCTTAGTGGGTTTAGGTACAACTTGAGTAAAAAAATCACTAGCTAATAAATGCCCCCAAAAAATGCCACTTTCGACCATGATTGAAATATGGAAGAAAGATGGTGTTCTTAGCAAACTTTCAACACTTTTCACAACAGTCTGCATATGTCATAGTCATCATGACTATTACTACTTAGCTGTCACATTAGCTTACATGCATGCACCTACCATCGTGATTTGAGATTTCAACTTCCAAAGTCATTGTGGGCCACAAAATCAACTGTTTCAAAGGAAAATCATTTTAATCAATTTTAATTCAATAGGGAAAACTAAAGAGTTTTCATGCACTACACACATAGACAGACAGACAGACAGACACACAGACACACACACACACACACACACATACACACATATTCACACACTCTTATTTCATCATTTTTCCTTTTCGCTACTAGTTCTTCTTTGAACCCTAAAGCTTTCATTTTTATGCAAATTTCACTCTTTCTTCTTCTCACGCTCCAAGATAAATGACTTCCTCTAGCATGAAAAAACAACTTCCAATTATGTCTGCTACTGATGTTACTGCTCCTACTCTCTCTAGAAATCACACCTATATCCCTGAGCCACAATGAAAAAAGAAAAAGCCATCATATAGGATTCTCATGTATTAATCCCTTGATAAATCTCAGGTAATGTTTATGCATTTTTGGTTCCATTTCCCATATCCTCTACAAACATGGTAAGTTAAAGAAATTTTCCCCTTGTTATCGTTGCTGCAAACCTCATGCATTTGAAGAAATTTCCACCATAACATGTGTTCCACTCCTCTCTTATCATCAACAATGAAGCTTATATCAATTGGTTGGATAAAGTAGAAAAAATAAAGAAAAAATATAGAAAAACCAAGACATATACGACTTGATTCAATTGTCCAGAAATGGTCCCAAATATAACCCCAATATGCTCATTTAAGCCTTATACTTTTGGGAAGCTTGACCAACACCTTTCACATCTGTTGTGAAATAATAACTCCCACCCATTTTGAAGTGACTTCTATTACTGGCCTTCGACCCACTAGGGATACCTTCGACCCCACTCTCAAACATAAAATCAAACCTAATTTTTTGTTCACTTGTCCATACTTCAGTAATTATATCGAAGACCATCATGAGGATACTGAGAAAGTCTCTGACTATAAGCACATTTCTTTCCTCATCCTCTGACTATCCCATTTCATTTTTTGCTTCAGTTCTTTATAGATAGCCAATAAAGCTTTAGCAACTTATATCCACAAAGGACGAACATCTGTCTCAGCAAGCTGATCCCAGGTTCCCTTTATGAATCTCTAGGGTTTGCTGCCTTTGAACTAAAATCTATAAACCATCCTGTCGACAAGCTTTTGATCTCTGGCCCTTTGTTGCTCTTGCAACTTTGGCTTAATGCCACATTCAAACCCTCTCTGAAGGTTATCATCCCATATGACTTAACAAGACATGTAAAAAATAAACGGGTTGAAGGCACTAGGCTCGTTCTACTTACTCCAAAATATACCAACCGTTCGACCGAATAGGTGTTCAAAAACCATTTCCTTATGTACACAGACTGTGCTACATTCGTTTCTTCCATGGTCCTACTTGTCAGTCGAAGTCACGGTGCATATTAGTTTAAACGAGAATTTCCAACTCTTTCCTCTAAACACCATTCTGAAGCCTTTGACATTTGGGAAGATTTCCTTAAACCTACTGTTCCATCGACCATAATTTCAATGGGGAAATCTGGCATGGGACTTGTCAGTTGTCAATCAAACATGGTGGCCAAACAATTTGGCTTTAGTCAATTTCTACCAAAGTCTATTTTTATTCATAAGGACGAAATTTGTTTGGCCACCACTACACTGTTGGAGGAAAGATATCAAACATGTTTAGACTTTCATGTCAAAGAAGTTCTTACTCTAAACCCTTTTGAATTTAAAGCTGAAGGTGAGAAAATTACTTAGAAGGGGGGGTTGAATAAGTAAGACTAAAAATCAAAGATTAGAACACAGATATTTTTATCCTGGTTCGTTGAAAACAACTAGTCCAGTCCACCCTCTCAAGAGTGATTTTCCTTTCTCTGTCAAGGACTTAATCCACTATTTTAATCAAACAGATTACAAATAGCAACACCTAAGAACAACCGTTCTTAGTCTTCTCAAGAGCAGCTGATCCCAACTGGATCCTCTTAAGGAAAACCTTTACAAACAAAGTAAAACTTTTACAAGAGTAAGAATGCTTCTAAT